GTTAGTTACCCATTTCTTTTGAAAGAGGATTTCTCATCACATCTATAAATACTCAAGAAAACTCTAGGGATCCTTACGGTTTCAAGTCTCTAAGATTACATCTCCAATAGAACAAGTAAGTTCTATCTTTTCTATTTAATGAAAAATCCATGATCATGACAATTGTTTAGTTGATTGATTTAATTTACCTACGACAATTGTTTAGTTGATTGATTTAATTTACCTACGATTCATTGTTAATTGTATTTCCACATTCTATAATTCATTCTTAATTGTGCTTCCGCATTCGAGTTATAGCACATTAAAATTTATTTAACATAGCCATGAGATACTTAATGTATATTAAATGAAATATATTTTGCCTTTTATTTTTATCCCGCCACGTCACATGCACATAGACATGGTGTTGGATAATAAGGAATCTCCGGAGGGCATTGAAGTCAATACAAAAGAGATAATATTAAGAAATTCAATAATTCATTGTAGGCGCTAATGGCGGCTAGGCAAGGGGCACAACTGCAATATCAAACAAGAGAAGGGCCGAAGATTTCTCGCATCCGTATATAATTTACGAATCTTATTGACGCGATACTCTCTATATTTTCTCGAAACTCCAAAGTTGAAAAACCCGCTGCCTTCTCTCCTTTGTCTTTCCGCGATTCCAAAAGCCGCGACCCTGATTATCTAGGTTTCCGATTTACTCTCTGTCTGATTCAATCATTGTTATAACATCTTTCTCTGCCACGATTCTGCCTGAACTTTAATCTCTCCTGTGATTCGTGATTGATTACGAGAAATGCGTGTTTCTTGCGTTTGTGGGTCGTGTGGATTTGGGTATAATTTCTGATTTTAATCTTTTGTTGTTGCAGATTGATTGGGGTGCACCTGTAATTGCCTTGGGGAGTGATTATTTTCCATAAACATTCAAATTTTAATTCTGTAAGTATTGTTTCTGCTTCTCTATTTGGTTTGTGGATTGGCTTTGTCTTAAATGCTGTTTGTTTATCTCAGGGGTTGGTGTTTGATCGTTTTATTTTATTCAATTTTAGGATTTTTTTGATGCCTTGGTATGTAAAAAGATGATTGTAGGGCTTTAGATTTGGTTGTTGGATGTTTTAGTTTGGATAGTTGAAGTTTACTGAGATTTGATTTTAAATTTCTTTGAATTAAAATGATTCCTATTCATTTTTATTGATTATTATATTTCATCATTAGACTTATTTTTATGTGGTTGAATTGAGAAATTAGACTTGACTATAAGGTGATCATGTATTGTTTATGAGATGTTTGAATAAATATATGATACATACATGTAGGCATATAGCCCTAATATGAATGATGTAAATGTGAACTGATAGAAGCATTTTGTTGTCTTGTTTATATTTCACTATGTATTGTTAGAAGCATTTTGTATTGTTATTTTTCGAGGATGATCTAATGACACCTGATTAATAAATTGAAATGAACATTGACAGGTAGACTGAATGATCTAATGGAATCCAAAGGTGGGAAGAAGATATCTAGTAGTAGTAGTAGTAGTAAATCGTTGTTCTACGAAGCTCCCCTCGGTTACAGCATTGAAGACGTTCGACCACACGGAGGAATCAAGAAATTCAGATGTGCTGCCTACTCCAACGTAAGTGTCTGGGTTTACTTGATCAATGACACTTGATTTTGTTTTTCGGTTTGATATTGATTTTTCTGTTTGATCCTTCTCTGCAGTGCGCTCGCAAACCATCCTGATATTTCTAGACTGGTGTTGTGATCACGTCTCTTGACGTGGTGCTACTAAAGCCATTCTCTTTTTCGATTTTTCCCTTTTATTTTTTATTTTCCAACCCGCATTCCTTTTCTTCTTTCTCGTGCTACTTTCTTGTTTTCTGTTTTTTTGGGTGTCTTTCTACTTGGTCTTCGGTGAAACTGTGTCTTGTTGCAAACAACTGCATTTTAGAAATGGCCTTGCCAGTCTCTGCTATTGGATTTGAAGGTTACGAGAAGAGGCTTGAAATTTCATTTTGTAAGCATGGCGTCTTTGCTGATGATCCGAATTGGAAGGGCCTTCGAGCTCTTTCCAAAGCACAGTTGGATGAATTCCTGGAACCTGCTGAGTGCACAATAGTTTCTGCACTGTCAAATAAGTATGTGGACTCCTATGTCCTCTCTGAATCAAGCCTCTTCGTTTATGCTCACAAGATAATTATCAAAACCTGTGGGACAACCAAATTGCTTCGAGCAATCCCGAACATCCTGAAGTTGGCGGGTTCCCTTTCTCTGAAAGTACAAACTGTTAGATACACCCGTGGGTGCTTCATTTTCCCAGGGGCTCAGCCATCTCCTCACCGTTGCTTCTCAGAAGAAGTTGCTGCACTGGATGGCTATTTCGGAAAGCTTAGATCGGGAAGCAAGGCTTATATTTTGGGCAGTCCTGCCATATCACAGAAATGGCACGTTTACTTTGCTTCGGATGAAACTATCCCGGCCAAGAACCCTGTTTACACTCTGGAAATGTGCATGACTGGTTTGGATAAGGAGAAGGCTTCTGTCTTTTACAAGCATGGATCTAGCTCTGCAGCCCTCATGACCGTTAAATCCGGCATTAGGAAGATCCTCCCTCGCTCTGACATATGCGATTTTGAGTTTGACCCTTGCGGGTATTCCATGAATTCTATTGAAGGACCCGCGCATTCTACCATCCACGTTACTCCTGAAGATGGATTTAGTTATGCTAGCTTTGAAGCTGTTGGATATGACCTGAAAACTGCGAACCTGGCGCTCTTGATCAAGAGAGTGTTGGCCTGTTTCATGCCAAAGGAATTCTCCATCGCTGTCCACAGTGATGTTTCTGGTAACCTACTCGAATCCGTTTGCTCTATCGACTTGAACGGCTACTGGCTCGGTGAGAAATGCAGTGAAAACCTTGGAACTGGCGGTTCCATCGTCTACCAGAAGTTCATTAGGACTTATGCCTATTGTTCATCCAGGCCTGTTCTGAAAGGCTGCTCCCTTTAAGTGGAAGAGAAAGATGAAAAGGAGTGATTACTTTGGGTTTTCTTTTATTTTTTTTACTGTCTGTTATTTTTTTTTTTTTGTCTTGTCAGTTAAATAAAGAGTTCATAAGCTCATCTAGACTGTATAATGGGCCTAGCCCATCAGTTCTTTGTATTTGGTATACCTGTCATGGGCTTCTTGTTGGGCCTATATACCAAGCATAGTTCACATTTAATCCAAGGCTTTTGCTTCAATGAATTTCCAATACAGTGGTGATGAATGTTATCTGAGGCTCAAAATTCCTGCAGAGTTTTAGTGGGGGGGTGGTGAAACCGTGAAAGTAGTGAGTTTTTGTGTATTGTGACTACACTATCTTTTCTGAGGTGAAAAGACTACATTTTGTCACCTTTTACTTTCACTGTCAAAGGTTATGATTCTATGTTGATTCACTTTTACTTGTGGGTAAATGTGATATATATATATATATATATATATCCATTTTGGATCAATCATTATTGTGTGGACCATGATCCACATAAGTTGTATGGATCATATTTTGTATATTGTAAAGTAATGTATATTTAGTACAAAAATAATGTACATTATATTCAGGGATGTACATTATTTTTGTACTGAATGTACATTATATTGTATAATGTACATATACAAAAATAATGTACATTTAATATATTAAAAATGTATTTTTTGTTATGGTCCACACAGTAATTTGTCATTTTGGATGAAGTATTTGTTTTTTCCCGTGATGATAGAAATTCGTAGCCATTATTTATAAGTGTAAACTGAATAAATTTCACTCGTAGTCATATTTGAAAGTGTAAACTGAATAAATTTCATTTATTTGTAATATTTTACAAATTACACATAAGATTTAAGCTGCATTAGAAAAATTGTATGCGATGGGCTTGACCATTATGGATATATATCTGTCATGCATTTTGAACGGCAGTTTCTGTGGGTAGGTGGGTGTTGGGGGGGGGGGGGGGGGTTGGAGGTGGTAGAGAGACCAATTGGTGTTTTATGCAATCCTATACTCAAAAGAAAGCCAGAAGCTTGTAGCCAAATGCCTGTAAATGCTCATCTCAGTTTTATTGAGTAGTGAGATATATATATATCATATAAGGCAGAATGGTCAGACCTGTCTGTGTAACGTCCTAGTCAATACACCCACCCCCCTCCTCTCCCTCACTATAGAAAATGAATATGAAGGACAGGAAAAAAGAGGCATACAAAATGTTTTATAGTACATATGAAATTAGATCTACTATTTGATGAAACATGTTTGGAGCAAAAACTGTCGTGATGTAATGCTTGAGAGGGACTCGAGAGTGGCTGTTGAGAAGGTAACTAATCAGAAGAGTGTTAGAGATCTCCCGTTTCATATTGCTTATACAATTCACAAGTTTGTTAAGAACTCTTGTTAGATGATACATATCAATAAATAAAAAAAAAAGTAAATATTTCAAGAATGCATAATTATGGCCTGGGGCAGAAATATTAGATTAACTGGTACAATAACAGTTTTAGAGGGAAGCACCCTCACTGGATAGTAACTAAGCATATTTTTTGCAATACAAAACTCTATTAATTGGCGCGATTCATGCTTCTTCTTGTTGCCACACCTGTAAAAAATGAATTCTTCATTTGATATAGTCACCTAGTGTGCTTCACTATAAATTTAGTGCATTGGCGCAATGCACCTTAAAAAATAGAACCAAATCTTCTTTCCCCTAAATTAGGTGTTCTAATTTATTGACCAAAACTCATGTTAAATTTTATATTGTATTCTTTCAATACACTCTAACATATTCATAGTATATGTTTAATAATTATGTCAGTTTTGATTGGGATGTGGTTCGAACGTAACACCTTTCTTATGAAAATCAATATAATGAGTAAGTAAAGAATAATAAATAATTGGAAATGGGCAGACGACTTTAATATGGGGACATCCGTGGTTATCGGATAATCCTAGCCCCTTAATTCAAACAGATATGCCAGAAGAGTTAAGAGAAGCACGAGTGGCCAGGTTGATTGATTTACAAACAGATACATGGGATCCACATATTTTATGTGTTCTATTTATTCCTGAAGATGTGAACCGGATAAGTATGATTCCTATTGGTCCTGACTACGAGGACTTATGGTATTGGATGAGTGACCCAAAAGGGACATACACACTGAAGAACGCCTATAGGCGTATTGTGGGGTATTATGAGAGTAACCTAGCGGTGTTTGATAAATGGGTTTTGATGTGGAAATTAAAGGTCCCTCCCAAGTGGAAGACATTTTTGTGGAGAGCCATATGTGATATTTTACTCACTACCACTAATTTGATTATAAAGAGGGTAGAGGTGGACCCAACATGCCCAATGTTTGCTTTAGATCATGAAGATGTGTTACATGCTTTAGTGCTCTATGAATATTCTACACTTGTTTGGAATATAACACAATCGCCTATCACTAATATTATTACAGATTCTTTTTCAACATGGCTAATGGGGGCTTTGGCGGTCTTAACGGAGGAGCAAACCCGGTTATTGGTAGCCGTGTTGTACCATATTTGGAGGAGCCGCAACTCAGCCGTGTGGACGGGGTCTATGATGCGGCCAGCCGATGTCGGGAGAGTGGCTGCTGTATCTTTGCAGGCGTACGGCGGTGGGCGCTGCGCAACACCGCCAGGCACCGCCGTCTCCGGCGCCACCCACCGGAACGGATATGAACGGCAGCAGCCTCAGATGCTATGTGGACGCAGGTTTTCGTCGGGACACTGGAGAGGCCACGTACGGTATTGTACTAATTTCACCAGAGGGCTCTTTCTCACCATTTATGGCGGAGGCATAGACATATAAGGAGGCACTGTCCTGGCTGCTAGGAAGGAACGACACATCAGTATGTCTACTCACGGATTGCATGGTACTAAGTACTACTATGCGGCAACAAGACTCACCAATTCATTCGTATATGTTGGGGTCACAATTGACCAATGCAGAACACTTATGTCTTTATTTAGTCGTATTTTGTTAAATTATGTCTCTATAGACAGGTTAATTTACATGCTCACACTTTAGCTTCCTTAGCTTTTACTCAGGATCATGCTATGTACTGGGATTTTATCTCCCCCTGGCGCTATTACAACTTTGATTCATTAATACAATCTGCAGATTGGTTTTCAAAAAAAGAATAATAAATAATTAACGAAATATTCTGTTACTAAAATTTACACGGATAAATGTAGGGGCATTTAGGAAAAGTAATTGATATAATAAAGGGTAAAGTAGAAAAAAAAATACTAAAATCAAAACAATATAAACTATTCATTTCAATAAACAATTACACCAACATTTTTTAGTATCCGTTAGGGCCTAACTTTATTGATTTTTATTAGATCTGTAGAAATAAATAAATAAATCTACAGCTTCAAATTTAAAAACTAAAATTTATACTATTAGACTACAAAATCTTTGATCGGGCCTCGCAAACCGCAAATTATGCTATGCAACCGTGTGTACCATGTATGGTGCACACGGTTGCAAAAACGACGTCGTTTTGACTAAAAATGCGTGTCCCACTTTTTTTTTTAAAAAAAAAATTCAGGTTCGATTCCCTACAATAACATTTTTGTGTGCATAATTTGAATTATATATCCACAAATTCATAACTATATATCCACAAGTTCATAACTATATCCACAAATTCATAACTATATATCCACAGTGAATGAATAACACAAAATCCAGAATGAATGAACTAAATATCCACAATGAATGAACTAAACATCCACAATGAATGAACTAAATATCCATAAATTCATAACTGTATATCCACAAATTCATAACTATATATCCACAATAATTCATAACTATATATCCACAATAATGCTGTTGAGGGGAATCAAAACTGTTTTTTTTTTTTTTTTAAATGGGACGCGCGTATTTTATCAAAACGACGTCGTTTTGCAACTGTGTGCACCATGATTGCATAGCATAACTATTGCTCGCAAACTAATGGGATGTTATGCTAAGTTTTAAGCAAAAGAACTAACCCCGTTTGGATACTTAGCTTATTCTCTCAATTCATCCTTATCCCAAGCATCATGTTTTAAATCACTTCATTTCCATCAATTAAGGTTAAATCACATCGTTTAGGACAAGATTTGGAGCCAAATTAAGTAGAAAAATAGATCTGTCATCAATAATGTATGTGCATGTGCCTAACTCCAGGGATAACCCTCGAGAGGCAGTGATGAGCGAAGTAGGGCTTAATTTCTGGATAATATTGTACTTACATATGACCAACGGTCTTAATTATTAATTCAACCAATTAAATATCTACATATTTAAATCATTATTATTTTTCACAAATGATTGTCTTATAAGCTTCCATATTTGCACATGTAGTGTCCTGATACACAACTCAACTGGTCAACCAATTCAAAATAAATTCATAAGTTTCGTTCGGGTTGAGCGGAGACTTGGTGGGCCGAGTGCAGAATCTTGCTATCGAAACGTGACGCTGACTTCTACGCAAATATAAAAAGTTACACATTTGCTGCGCTACTAGCTATATAACTTTTGGCGTAATTGCAAACGCTTGATTCTAATTAATACTTTGCTTGCAGTTGTAGGGTGTAGGGTTTGAAAGATTCAAATCCTACTAAAGACAAAAAAAAAAAAAGTATGCAAAAACTTAGGGCAACCTCAATAGCAATGATTTTTTGGTGGTTTTTGAGGTGCCGACTAGGAGAGAGAGGGAGAAAAAAAAAAGCACGTCTAATGAAAAAAAAAACAACAAAAAACAAAAAAAAAACAAAAAAACAAAAAAATAAAACAAAACAAAAAAATAGAGCAATTAACGCGTCAGTTGGCGCGTGCACTGCATGCGCCCGGTTGGACGCGGTCTGTGCAGTTCACGTACGGAATTGCGCATCTCTTTTCCACTTTCTCTCTCATGTGGGCCCCACAAAAAATCATTTTTTACCGACGACAGTTCCCAAACATTCTCTCCTTCCCCTCTCTCCTCAACATAAGTTATGATTTCTTCAAAAGCTGAGCAAAAACTACTATTATGTTTGCTTTTATAGACCAATTGTAACACGTTTCACAAGTTACCTTATTCAATCGTCTCCGGGCACTAATCCACTATTAACAACATTTGCCACTATATAATCTACTGTTGAGAATCCATTGACTAATAATGATTTGCTATTATTATACATCTAATCACATTCTTAAAGGGGATAGGCAGTGCTGGAATCCATGCAAATATCTTAATGGACGTTAAATCAAACTAAATAGTGGATTAGTTAATATTATTATTATTATTGAGATGTAACAGCTGGAAATTATTGATCAAGTGCACTCAATATGGGATCTTTTTCTCCATTTTTAATTTAACTTTAATTAAATTTTTGTTTCTATGACATTGTATGATAAAAAAATAAATAAATAAGAGAATAAAAAGAATGAATGAAATCAATAGTTATGTCACGTGTAAATCCTTGTGTTGTCCTGCTTATTTATTAATTCCTTGCAAATACCTAACACCTTATATATATCATTCATATATATATTTACTTATGAAAAAATCTATTTTATCCATTAGGGTCTTTTATAGAATCCCGTGGATGTTTGTGGTCGAGTAGTATGAATGTAGCTCTCCCAATGGGAGGTCACATGTTCTATTCTAAATGGAATATTGACTCTTTTTACTTCAATAGATTGAAAAAGTATGAACATGTACTATATATATTGTGACTGAGTCAGCAGTACTATATATATATATATATATATATATATATATATATATATATATATATATACCTTTTGCTCTAGCATGATTGGTGATTGTAGGTGTTTGGTTGTCCTTATAAGCTACGACCCTTTATCAGATAATGTTTTGGGCATTCCTCAGATTAGGAGGGTGCCTATATATGTTGCATTATTGTTAGGCTGTGTGTTTTGGGGTAACCCGGCCCCCTCATGTTACATTAAAAAAAAAAAATCACAATTTATCATATTCAATTCATTTATTGTCTATTTTTATGAATTAATTAACTTTACTAAGAATTAATCACCATGTCAAATGATACATAATTTAATATAAATAATTTGGCACAACTAACATTACAAATTTTACTCCTTAAATGAGTTCCATAATTGAATATAATAATTTAATATGAGTGCACAAAAATTAAGTCTAACTAAATTAATGTTATACGTTTTACTTTTGAGTTTCTCTTTGTCTCGGTGTGTTATTTATTTTTGTTGTACTATAAATATTGTATATCAATTCTTTACTTTGTGACTTAATTAAGCTAGCTAAGTTCATTGACTTATGACTTCAGCATAACAATTTAAAAAAAAAATTACAATTAGTCGTTAGAACGATTTCGATCCAATGATCTTAGTTGAAGCCTTCAACGCAACTTGACTGGCCTACTTATACCAAGTCCATAGAAACAAACCAAACTCACCAAATACATTATCTATACATTATCTAAGCTACACATCATAAATATCATTTGTTGTCATCTACATTGGACATTAGGTTTTGAAAAGGTGCATGAAATTCTTGCGGAGAGAAAAAAGGGAATTATTACAAGTGTTTAGAAGTATTCTCTCAACTTTATTAGGTGGGATTACATATAAAGGCAAGGTGGTGAGGTGTATATATATATATATATATATATATATATATATATATATTTTATGATTGTGCGGATAGATAACGGGCACACCACAAATTAGTATCACGCATGCACACAATTTAATACACAATGGTACACTAGAATACATGTAAACATCAGCCTTCGAACCCATACTCTATTAATTAACAAATCTATGCACACGACATAAAAATTATGACACACAACTACATTTGGTCATGCACACGACATACAGACTAATGGCACACGACTACATCTGTTCTCACGGTCCTCTATAATATAGTTGTACGCATTTGAATACACTTATATATATATATATATATATATATATATATATATATATATATATATATATATATATATAGAATCGCACTCAGGTGCGAATGCTTCGCCCAGGCGCGAAATAGGAATAGATTATGTCCGTCCACATGTCCAGATCTAATGGAGGAGAAACAATGATTTAAAAAAAAAAAAAGTGTGGTGGCATTTTCGTAAATAATTGAACATCTAAGTGCAAGTAAAATGTATTACAAGTGCATGTAAAATGTATTATAGGTGCAAGTAAAAATTTACACGTAGTTGCACCTATAGTTCTAAGTAGTTGCACAGATAGTTATAAGTAGTTTCACAAATAATTATAAGTAGTTGCACCTAGGTGCATGAATGTTTGTGTGTAGTTTTCAAGGGTATTACTACCCGCTGAACTCAGATCAATGAACGTTAACAAGGAAAAATTATATGCACTTATAGGTGAAAATAGGTGCACCTATGGTTATAAGTAGTTGCACCTATAGTTATAAATAGTTGCACCTATAGTTATAAGTAGGTTCACCCAGGTGTATGAATGTTTGCGGGAAGTGAATGTTAACAAGACAAAATTACATGCACTTATAGGTGAAAGTAGGTGCACTTGTAAGTGATTTTACTTGCACTTCGATGTTCAATTATTTACGAAAATGCCACCGCATTTTTTTAAGCTATTAGATTTGGACACGTATCGCGTGCTGATTCGTTCCCATATATTCCTTCCTGGGCACTTATTCGCACCTGAGTGCATCCATATATATATATATATATATATATATATATATATATATATATATATATATATTAGAAAGGAATAAAATGTGAAGACTGTTAGGCTTGTGATGAGGGCATCTTCCAAGCTTTTTAAAGGAGACTTCT